CAACACGTGATCGTGATTGGATTAATCGTCAACAAGATGATCGATTACCGTGGTCGAAACGACCTAATTCAACAGTAAATAATTATTCACCAACATATCAACGTGGTAATAACACAAACTCTTATCGAAATGTTCGACAGTCCATGCCATTACAACAACAACAACAACAACAACAACGTCATACAAACAGTAATCAACAACGTCCAACGAGTGGGCAATTTTATCAAACACAATTTGTTAAGCCAGAACCAACACGGAAAGCAAATATTCCTTTTCTACAACCAGCTTTTGCACCAAATGCTTCTACACAATATCCACGTGATCAACCATTACCTCGTCTTAAACCAGGTACAGTTAGAACAAGAGGTAAATCAATTATTTCATCATATTAAAAAAAAAATATTTTTTTTTTCCGTATAGAAGAAGGTCTTGAAGTGGAACTTGGTAAGCATTGCATCTATAATATTAATAAAATAATATTTTTCTTTATCTAGAACATACATATAAGCGAGCTTTATCTAAATATTATGGTCAAAAACCCGGTCGAAATTTACCTTTATCCGATTATGGAGATTTTCGAAGTCAAGTATGAATGAAAAAGGAAAATTCTTTTCATTTTTCTTATAAATATTTAAATATTCTAGTGTCCTGTTTGTGAAGATCTAATATTCGAAAATAATATTCAATTAATAAATCATTTATGTCAACATTTTGATCAACAGCAACAAAATAATAATGAACGTCAATTTCAATCGAATTCACCGTTTGAACAAATTAATACAAAATGTTTACATTGTCAATCAGAATTTTCTAATCCATATTTTCTAGCTATACACATTGATGATAAACATATGTTTGAAATGAATGAATATCCATGTCGTATATGTGAACAACGTCATACATCATTATTAGAATTAATAGCACATTTAAATCTTTGTCATTGTGGTTTAGAAATGCCTTATTTTTGTGAAGTATGTTCTTTTCGTACATCAATTCATGCTGATATGATTTATCATATTGATGAAGTACATAAAGGAACACGACATTTTTTTTGTCCATATTGTTTTCTCGCTATTGAATTACCATTGATGATAAATTCAACAAATATATTAAATGGTACATTAGCATATAAACACTTATTACTTCATTTTAATAAAGTTGATCAAGGACGTACAATACAATCAAAATTTAAACATTGTAGAAAATGTATATTACATGTTGCATCAATGAAAGATCATTTACAACGTGATCATTTAAATATTGTCGATGGAATGAAAGCTACTTATTATGATGAAGAAGAAAATCGTAAATAAATATTCTTTTTTTTCTTTTGTAAATGATAATTTTTCTTTTGTTCTAGAAGAAAAACAAAGTGATGAAGGTGAACAATATGATGATTCAATTATGGATACATCCTCTTCATTACCAATTGAAAAATCTTCAACAGCAAGATATATTAGCCCAGCGAAAAGTGGATGATGGGTTTTTTCCTTTCTTTTTTTTTTTTTTTTTCTTTTTCTTCTATATGTATATTATTATCGTTGTCTATTTGTTTGATCTTGTAGATCGAACACTGGTTTTTGTGTCTATGAGTGGTGTTAAGACATTTATCGTTTTTGTTTCTTTACAGAATATAAGTTTGCGCATGTCTATTTCTTTTACTTTTGATTTTTATATAGAATACAATTTGAATGTCAATATGAGAAATTATGAGGTAAAGAAAAAAAATAATAATAAGAACCTAACAAATAACATAGCTTGCATATATAGAATGCGAAAAAATATTTTTTCTTCCACAGGGATAACGCTATGTTTTTAAATGGCATCTAATTAGTAACCAATACAAAGTTTCTACTAAGAAGGAAACATTTTCAGATGCCATTTTTGATTTCAATTATTGTTTTCCTTATAGATAAAACATAGTTTTGTACTAAAAACTCTTAAAAGACTTGGATTAATATTGAGATTTGATTAAACTATCGAACTTTTAATATGCCTATTTTGCTTGAAGTCCAGTTTTTTGGAAAACTCATATTTTCGAACTTTGATCAGAAACTTTACTTACATAAAGAACTGAACTAGATTAATTTCTATGGAAAAATTCAAAAATTTTGAACAGTTTCGTCCAGATATCAGACTTTTCATATATAGACCCTTTTCATAGATAATGTATACACCATGCATTTGGTGAAAGATTCATATCTTGAAGAGATTTTGTTTTAAATTTCGTACTTTTTTTTAATAGAAACTAATTTAGTTGAGTTCCCTATATGCACAAAATTTCAGATTAAAATTCAAAAATACGAACTTTCCAAAAATCTGGACCTCTAGAAAATAAACATATCAAATATTCAAGAGCTTAGTCGAGTCTCAATAGAAATCTTATTACGGTTTTCATTAGAATACTATATAGTAATTATAGTTAAAAAATTATTGAAATCGGAAAGAAACATCTCAAGAGGTTCCTTCGTAAGTTAGACCCGATCAGCACAAAATGATTCTTTTTCGAGAAGACGACACTCCAAACCAGATCTAATTGAAAACAAAGAGTATCATCGAGAATTTTTTGTGTTTTGAAAGATTGATGAGTGCTATCAGTAATTAATTTAATGACAATAAGCATTGTTTTCTGCAACAAGATATGACGGATACAACTATAAACGAGTTTTAAATAACTCAATATTTGTTTACATGTTTGTCAGAACATCTAAAATGCGTTTTTCCAGTATTTGCACTTGGAAAAAAAATGTTCCGTTTCTGATATTATGCTTTTTTTCGTAGTTATGTTTTTGAATATTGTTCCAATATGTTCAGCTACATATAAATCAGAGTGTGTTTTCGGGCCAGCTGTCGTTGACTCAAAAATTGATTGTATTGTCTTGAAACAAACTTTGAATCATGTGAAACTCTTTTATGTTCGTATCTATCACGTCTTCGGGTTGAAAACAATATTAATGGTCATCGTACTGATTGTTGATTCTATTCATCTAACCTTCAAAACTAAATATTAATATGTGACATTCATTATTTTTCAATTATATCTAATTTAAAATGCTTGATCAAAGAAATTATTCTATGTTGATAGAATGTAAGATTGTAGAAGTTTACTGAATTAGACATTGAAAAGTTATCATCACTTTTACTATTTAAAATACTCCTAAATCCTATTTTAATGTGCTTTAATTTGGTATAAAATTTGTTGTTAATGCTATGCTAAATCACAGTATTATTCTCTCTCGATCAAAAATATTTTTACTCACTTTAAACTAATAAAATTCCAGATGGCTTTCAACTAGGGTGTGGGTGCAGATGTGAGTATAGTATGGCTATTGCTGCTGTTGGTGTGCAGATGTGAGTATCTATGAACTAAATAGTGAGACCCACACCTACACTCTCAAGCCATTGATGAAAATTGAAAGATATCTTCCTTTTTAATATATTATTAACATGGTATCATATGTTGCTGTTTTAGCGATGAATAGTAATGATCAATTGATGCATTTGGTAAATTGTATTAGCCAACAGAATATCGAAAAATTGTTAACGAATAACCATCTCAGGTTGAACAATACGGCTCGAATACGGATGTTTACGATTAATTTATTGGCACAGAAATGAGCCATACTCTGCCATAATATCTGGCGCAGAAATGCAACTGTATCATGGTGAGATTACCTCAACTATGCGACCGTATACAGTGAAAATACGGAATCTCATATGGTGCCATGAGGGGTACACAAAAAATAAAATTTATCCCGTTTTACTTTTAAACGCTCTCAGTTATCCATTTAGTCCTTTTGGTTCCTCTACTCCCTTTAGTACCTTTTAGTCCCTTTGGTCTCTTTAATCCTTTTAGTTCCTTTAGCGTCCTTTAGACTCTTTAGCATCCTTTCGCATCCTCACTTCAACAACACCAACAGCGTCACCCTCACCTACATGCTAAAAGGACTAAAGTGTAACAAGTATGGAAGTCTTAGCAATTTTCATAGCAAAAAACTAAAACGGGATAAATTTTTTTTTCGTGGACCTGTAGAATTTTTGGGAATCACTGATTTTCATTTGCATGTGTTATTTATTAGATGTATCATTTCGTATAATATTTTCTTATATTTCAAATCGTGTAAATTATATAATTTGCCAACATATAATCGATAATTTTTTCTGTACATTTCATGATTTTTTTCCATGGTTTCTTTAAATAAAAATATCAATTAGATTAGGATCAAAGAATCTAGATTTAACAGTTATGAAAATTTTAATGATGTTTATATTGCTTATTCGATTACTATTTTCTTCATATTTTGATAACGTTTCGAAAAGTTTTTTTTTTTTAATATAGGGATTTCATATTCTGTGTAAAATGTAGCGAAATTAATATCAGATTGCTTTTCTGTGCATGATTCATCATGATAGAGTTAGGTACAGTATACGATACGAATTTTATTTTTTAAGAAGTATATATGATTCTTAGCTAATAATTATACAATCGTCTATTGCTGCTAATGTTTAGTTTTTGAAATATAAACATATTTAAACAGTTTATATCATGATATTAGACTGTAGATGTAGATGCAGTTGTTTGTATAGTTCTCTCCGTTGTTCGACTCCGCACATCATATTTCTGTGGTTAACACTAACGATTCTAATATAAATAAGAATTTGTCTTAAAGATAAATGTTTAAAGATAGATGATTATAGACGTATGTCGATTGACTGAGCTGCTGTCGTCACTGACGGCCACAGAATATATAGGAAGTCTCAGCCATCATGATCAGAACACAAAAATAAGTCATCGATTTTTGAAAATTTTCGACATGCAGGATCAGCTTTTAGGAATGGCCTTGTCTATCTTTGTATCATCATTTTCTTCGTTTTTACTTTCAGTCATCACCGCTGATAAATACATTGGCTTACATCTCTATTGACGATTAATATAATAGATATATTATCTTATCAAGAGATGTGCCTATTTCATTTGCTTTTTTTTCTTGTCATTACAGATGTTACATTTCGTCATTCTTTTGATTATTGTTACTTGTATAAATTCTATAACAAGCGAATGTCCATGTCCGGATATTTCTCTATGTCAGCCACTTCAAGTCGGACCTCGTCATGAAAAAGTAGCTTTTATGTTATCAAATTTGAATTGGCGTTCATATGATTATTCACAATTAACAACAATTGTTATATGTGCAAATGATTTTGATCCTCAACTTCTTTGTTTAGCTCATTCACGACAAGTTCGTCTTGTATGGATTGCTAATTATGATGTAACACAATTAGGTAATGCAACAGCTCGAACCGAATGGATTAATCTTCACATTGATAAAGTAAAAAAGACTTTTACAGATGGTGTTAATCTTGATATGGAAGATGAACTTGCCGATAGTAGTGAGGCAGCACATCAATATACACAACTTGTTCAAGAACTTTCTGACCTCATGCATATACAAGTACCTGGATCAAAAGTAAGGCTATTCTACACCGATGATACTGTATACAATACTAGTAAAAAATATAAGACCAACATTTTTTTTTCTATGGCACAAATTATTTAACTCAAATCGAAATAGTGGTTCGAATAGCCAATGAAATTCTCTATCAAATGCATTTCATACCGAAATTTCACAGATGGACTGTAAGAGGAATATTTCTGAAAAAATAACAATGTGGTTTTGAAGTCTCATAAGACAATGCAAAAATTAGTTTGGAGGAGTACCATCTTAAGGAGAACAAAATATGGTATTAAATAAGGGGTTACTGCATTTCTTACAATCTTTTCTCTACAAGTTACTAGCATCATAAAAACACGAACAAAGCGAAATTTATCAAAGCATTGTTAAAAATTGCGTTTGTTTTTTATTATTTGTGTTGCTGATAACTTTTTAAGGAAAGATCATAGGATATGTCGCGATCTCTCATTTTATTCAAGATTTTGTACTCTTTAAGATAATACTCTTAAAAACTATTTTTTTTAATAGTCTTCTGAGACTTGAAAAGTACCATATTTGGCTTTTAAGAAACTTTTCTCTGTTAGTCCATCTGTAAAATTTCGCTATGAAATGCGTATGACAGACAACGTTATTGAATATTCAAACTATCAGTTGCCATTGAGTGAAATGCTTGGTATTGTATAAAAACACTTTGTTGATCTTTTATTTTTGATGAGTACCTAATGTATATATAATTATAAGATCTAATATGAAGGTTAGTGTTGATGTTGCTTGGAGTGCACCATGTATTGATGGTCGTTGTTATGATTACACGGGTTTAGCAAGTGCTAGTGACTTTCTTTTTATTATGGCATACGATTTACGATCACAAATATATGATTTAAATGATTGTATCGCTTCAGCAAATTCACCGATTGCTCGAGTTGCAGCTGGTTTGAGTAATTTTACACAAATTTTTGAAATTTCACCATCAAAACTCGTTCTTGGTGGTAAGTCGTTCATTATGTCTTGTTGTTTTCCAAGAATTCTTTCTTTTTTTGTTAGTACCTTGGTATTGTTATGATTATAAATGTTTATCCATTGACGCTAATATGACTTGTGTATATGATTATCATGCATGTATATTATTTATCTTTTGTTTCTTTTTTTTTTGATAGACAATTGAACATGTTCCTTTTCGTGGTGCACCATGTTCAGATGCAGCGGGAGTTCAACACGATTATCAATATTGCCGACAATTATTACGCTTGAATTCTACAACTGGTCGTCTAATCGATAACCGAACAGGTGGAGTCTTTTTTAATTACATTAACAATCAAGATGGATTTATACACCAAGTTTGGATGGATGATCCTGAAACACTTTTAATTAAATATGATCTTGCAAATGAACGGCATCTATTTGGTATTGGTATGTGGAATGTTGATTATCTTGATTATTCTGCAAATGCAACGAAAGACGTACAGCAAGATACAAGAGATATGTGGAACGCTATGAAAACATTTCATATTGTAGATAGAAAAAAAGTTAAACAATCGTATTTTTTCTTTTCATTAAATAGAGAATAATAATCTTTTATCAAAACTTTTATGTATTGAATACAAGACACATTTGAAAAAAAAGGGAAGATTTAAAAAGGCGATTTGTATGTGAATTGTGTTCCGGGTCTCGGAATTGAATCACTTTTTGATGACTGAGCGCAACTTGGAATGGCAATAATAAATGTGTATTTCTTTAACACAAAGAATTTTCAAAAGATAGAAGTCTACAATTACTGATATATCTGTTCGTGGATACTCCAACTTCGTGAAGACTATCATTTATTAAAATAACTTTTCACAATTAAAATACTTGCTGATCAACTTCAAAGAATCAGATCGATTACTATTTTTAGTTATATTGTCAATTTTAGTAAACAATTAACACTGTTTCATTTCAGTAAAACCCATGTCATTTAATGCAGTTAGTTTTCTGTTTAGATGAAGAATGTCATTGAACCGAATATTGCTCTACTTTTATTTATTCACTAAAAGAAAATTTCAAAATATTCGCGTAATAAAGATTCTTAATTGTTGCCAGCTGCGAAGTGCGAAACCCATGAGAAAACAGAATAGAATCGATTATTTCTTGAGTAAAAATCAGTTTCAATGGTACGATGTAATTCTGATTTTTCAGCTTTACAGATAGATTTTAATTCATTGTAGTCGTTTTCTGATCAATTAAAACTGCTTTTTTTCAAAGTCGATTAAGAAAGATTAAAACCAAATGAAATTTATCTTTAAAGTTAAAAAATCAGATTTTTAATGTATTCAACTATAATAATTTCTAGATATTACTAGAACTTTTGGCCATCTTTTATTCCTGTTATTATAAAACTTCATAGAACAATATTTAGCTTTCAAGAAAATCTAATCGACACATGATATTATGCATAAATGTCGTGCGCATTACAAAGTTTAATAAAACTTGATACTTTTTGATCATTTTCATCTTCAATAATAGAACCAAGAATAATAATCGTGTTTTCTGGATTTGATTTTTTTGCTAGTAGCCATAATGAGAATACATAAAAAGTAATTACAGTTTCTTTGCTGCAACTGTAATATGTTTGTTAATATGCACATAAATTGTCTATAAGCATGACGTCTTAAGTCACATATCACAGTAAAATTCATAAATCAAACAGAGAAACTCTTATAATCGTAAAACTCTCGAATACTGTGGTCTACAGAACTTGACTATTTAGTGCATGCGTTAGGACCCTCTCAAAAAAAGTCGCTTTTCATCAGAATGATCGAACTTTACATAAATGCACAGGAAGATAGCCCGTCATTTGATTTTGCATAAATGATAAGAATTTTCACTCAGTACATTGTTTTCTCCGAAAATTTGTGAAGACCTCTGCCATCCGCTATTCGAAAAATAAGACATTGTTTAAAAAACCAAAAATCTTTTTCGTTTTTTCTCAACTCTTAATATCTCGAACGTGCAAACAAAATTTCTCCATCCAGATCCGTATGATGCATTTAAATTTTTTTTGTTACAAAGAGCAGATCAAGATGCAGTACACCAAAGAGTTCTTTTTTTGAAATAACTGTTTTTGTTATCAAATACGAGAACGCCTGTCTAGGAACGCCGCCATTTTTAGGACTTTTTTAAGTCATTGAATTTGTCATCCTTTTTTTCCCTTAAAAAGTAAGTGTGTGTTTAAGAAAACGAACTCCTCGGTACACTACATCTTGACATGCTCTTTCAAGCAAAAAAATAAATATGCTATACGAGCCTTCACAGATATATCTTATTTGTAAAATTTGCTATTTTTGACCCTTGCTTAGTTCATATCTCTGTCAAACGCTATGATACCGAGCTAAAAACTTTACCTTAACCTCCCTACTATAGCCCCAACATATTCTGAAAATTTCAGTCGATTCGGAGGTTTCCGGCCTGAGATCGAATTTTGAGGGGGGGGGGGGGGCGTAAATATAAAATCCAATACGCTTGTGAGCAGAAAACTTCAGTAGCGGTGGCGTAATTGGAAGAAACAAAGGGTGTGCTAACATAAAAAAG